ATACGTGAGGTGATATGTGAGGTGATATGTGGTGAGGTGATATGTTATGAGGCGATATGTGATATGATATGTGAGGTGATATGTAAGGTGATATGTGATGATGTGATGCTGATTTCATTGCAGGCATGATCACACGGCTCCGCCACCCTGTGTCAACAAAGGCCAACAAGGTTCCCAGCTCCGTGTCCTTGGGAAGTGGTATGGACACACCCTTGGTCTCTTAAACTCTATTTCCCACCATTTGGGGTTAATATATATATATATATATGTATGTATATATATATATATATATATATATATATATTAAATATACTGAAAGAGGAGGGAAGACAGGGAGGTGGTCCCTGTTTACATTGTGCCAGGGAGGGCTTTCACCCTAATATATTTGTTCATTTTCTAAAACTAAATAACAAAAACCAAAAATCCTTTCTTTCCTTTTTTGTCCTCCCAGCCTAACTCTGTAATCTCTCCAGTATTACCAAAAAGTTTTTCATCTTGTTAGACTCAGTCATCAGTCTCTGGAATCCCACTGCCTGTTCCTTCTCCTGCCAGGATTCTGTGCCTATTCAGGGGAGCTAGTTTTCAGCCTTTTGTATTTAGAATAATGACTTCCACCCAGATCACAGTTTAATTTGTCTTAAAAGACAATGTAATGCCATTTACCAAGCTAAGAGCATCAAGCACATTTTAACAGAGTCTTTCCAAGCTGCTTCTGTTTGGCAAAGTGTTTCTCCTCTAAGCTTTCTTATCAATAACTGTAGCCGCTTCAAGAGCACTATTGTCTTGGTGGCATTATCACGTGGTCTAAGAAGTCATAAGACCATGTCACTAAGGGTTTTTTTTAAGTGATCGACTTAGATTGTCTTGCTGTTCTTCATACTGTCAGTGTGAAACTCGCATTGGAAAGGAACTCCCATTGGAAAGGAACTCCCTAGGGAGGCTGTTAGCCCCAAAGCTTCTATTCTCATCCTAAAGAGTGTCTGTCTTGCCTTATTAGGAATCTGGGAACTGAAAAGAGAAGAGATTACCCTGTTGAAGGAGCTGGGAAGTGGCCAGTTTGGAGTGGTCCATCTGGGCAAGTGGAAAGGGCAGTATGATGTTGCCATTAAGATGATCAAGGAGGGCTCTATGTCAGAAGATGAATTCTTCCAGGAGGCCCAGACCATGATGTGAGTTCTTCTGAGGAATGGAAGTGTAGCCCTCACCATGGGAGGACATTCACGCTAACAGGCCTGTCCCTGACACTTGCAAGGCCTGGAGCAAGATTCCACATATCATAGATATAAGTACTTAGATGTTATAAATCAAGCTAAAATGCTCTTCAATAAAATCGGTTCTGTGCTCTTCCTTTGACAAGGATACCTTTGTGACAACCTGAAAGGTCATATTCAAATTTAGAATTCTCAATAGAGAAATGAGCACATGGTGGAAGGACTCCACAAACCCCACCCCTCCCCTTCCTCCTCCTACCCCTGCTCTGTCCTACACTGTACTCAGTACTAATGTGCAGACACAGCATTCTGTACATCCAAGCTCCCTCTGCGTCTCCCACAAAACAACTCTCTATTGACTAATGATCTTGGTTAGGGGCAGGCATACTACCAGCATGGCTCGCTTTTGGGGGAACAGACTCCGAAGAGTCTACACAGGTCCTGGAAGAGGCCTCAGGACTATGTGGACAGGGAATTCCAGAGTGGGTACCCCAAGGGAGATAGAGAAAGGGGTGTGTGGGTTCTGAGGAGGAATGTCTCCTTGGCCCTCTGGCCTCCTTGCCCTGTAGGAAGGTACATGGTGGAATGAGGAACAGAGGGGTCCTTGAAAGCACATACCCAGGGGCAGGAGCCTCTAGTGGCCAGGACAGGCAATGCTGAAAACTAACATGCTATGGACAACATCCTTTACCTTCCTGGTACTTTCAACACAGTCTGATAAAAATGCCTTTCTCACCCTATTCTTTCCTCGCTAATAATGAAGATACCCTTCCTAATGGTCCTAAGTTCCAAGCACAGTCCTTAATTCTTGATAAAATATATGTGTTCTCTTTCTCTGTTTTTCCTTTCCTTTCCCTCCCCGCCCCTCCTCTCCCCTCCTTTCCTCCTCTCTCTCTCTCTCTCTCTCTCTCTCTCTCTCTCTCTCTCCCCCCCCCTCCATCTTTCTGTCACCTATGCAAGCACAAAAAATTATTTTAATGATTCTACCTCTTCTTGTCAACATGGTGAATGAGACTTTGAAGCGTGACCAGCCATCCAGGTTTACCTGGGACTTCCCTGGTTTTAGCGCTGCTATAGCAGGACTTTGGTCAAAGATGGTTGAAATCATAAACCCTAGCCTGCTACAGTGTAATAGCCCTTTTAAAAATTTTACTTAAAACATTTACATTGTGTTTATAGACATCTTTCTGAGCACATTATTAATGCATTCAAGCCTCGTATGAAGCCTATGTAGGATGTACCTCTGTTATCTGTTTTGTAGGAAACTGAAGCATAGAACTGTTCAATAGCTTGCCCAAGGTCACCAAGCTAGTAAAAGTGGCAGAGCAGAGATGCAAACCCAGGCAGACATCCCCGTGCCCATTTGCTTAGTCATTCCTTTATGAAGACCAATGGTACCAAGCGAGTCAGAACAATCGCTTTTACAATTGCAGAATTGTTTGGGAGCAGAGGGACTATGTGAACATAAGCCTTTGGCTAGGGCTGGCTTCACATGTATGCAACCTGCACAGTCTTGAGTTGCCCCGCACTTAGTAGGGCTCCCTCTGCACTTGGTCTAATGATCTGCTATCAACCATCTTAAAATTCTTAATCATCTTAAACAAGAATCCCTGCATTTTCATTTTTCACTGGTTCCTGCAAATTACGTAGTTCATTATGCTTTTTGCAATCGGACCACCATATAACTGGGGAGCAGGCCCTTGATGTCTTGCTTTTGCAAGACAGAAAAATCTGGCAGAAAATCCCTTAGGTTCACGGTATACCCCCCGTGTCCTGGTGTAGCTTTCAAACATATTTTTTCCCCAGTATGTGCCCTCTGGTCAGTGATGGAACTTGCTCGAGGAACATCTTTTATTGGGTGATAGACCTTTGTCCCGCCTCTGAAGGGAGCACTGCTGAGTACCACACAGGTCTCTACGGCTGCTGAAAGATGCGTAACCGGGCTCATCGCCCTGAGTAACATGATAAGGCATGCCCATATAGTTAAGCCAAGAAGAGAGAAAATAACTAAATATTCAATAAGTCCTTAATTATTAAAAAATTTAAAAGTTGACATGTTCAATTTAGATTTTTACATATCTGAACATTAAATAATCATCCTGTTAATTGATAATAGGTAAATTACATGAGGACAAGTTGACGCACATTGTAACTGCTGAGTTTCCATCCATCATTACCTACCAGAAGTTTTATGTCATGTGGTTACAATTTTCTAAATTTATTATTGAAAAAATAATGCTACAGTAGTGGAAAATGAGTGTTTTTAAGAAAAATTATGCCTAACCTCATTTCCCTAACATTGCAACTATTTCCATTTTAAGTCCACCCTTCATATTCTGATACAATGGTTTTTTTAGGATGAAATATTTAGACATGAAAGTTAGATGTTTTAAAATGCAAGTGAGTGCTCTTAGGGTGCAGCTTTCTCCAAATTAGTAATGGAAGTTCTTAAGATGCCATGAGACTAAACAGGAATTCTGAGGCACCAGACCATGGCTTCTCCTATTCTCTGTAGGAAAGTCGAACACAGCACCCACAACTGCTAAATTGCTTCTAGGGTTGTCGCTGTCCAATATAAGGCATTTCTCACCTCCAAAGGCTAATGCTCCCAGAATAAGATCCAAAACATTTCCCTGCCCTTCTCTGTTCAAATACAAGGGGGGAAATTCAAACAAACAAAAATCTGTGAGTGATTCTTTTTCAGGACATCTGAAAAATGGAGTGTGGAAATTCAATACTGAACTTTGAAAATCTGTTCTTCCCAGGAAACTCAACCATCCCAAGCTGGTGAAATTCTATGGAGTGTGCTCAAAGAAATACCCTATATACATAGTGACTGAATATATAACCAATGGCTGCTTGCTTAATTACCTGAAGAGTCATGGAAAAGGACTTGAACCCTCCCAGCTCTTAGAAATGTGCTATGATGTTTGTGAAGGCATGGCCTTCTTGGAGAGCCACCAGTTCATACATCGGGACTTGGTAAGCAAAGCCACTGGAAGCTCAAAGAGAGAAAAGCAAGCAATCCATAGCTTCTGCCTTCAGTGGTAGATGGGGTGGGCAAACAAGGAGGCTACCTTCACTTTTACTTTGTTCACTTGTGACTTGCTTAAACACATGACATGTCTGTGACTTAAAAAAATCCCAATTTCAAAATAAAATATTTGAAGTACAGAAAGAACAGAAAGAGTAAAAGAAGCCATCAAGATCTATGTAGTTGTCTTGTGGTTTGAAGGAAAACAGATGGAGAGGAAAGGCTTTGGTCTATTTAGTGTGTCTTGGAACCATTAAACCCGAGCTGGCCTTTACTCTGGGAAGGGCTGAGTGCCAAAGCAGTCATTTCATACAATCACTGAACATACAAAAACGAACAAACAAAAACCAGAAAGAAATGCAACTTGTGTGTGTCTTTGGGTCAGAGTGGGAGTGGGAAATATTCTGCTTGGCGTGCACTGGTATTTATCTTGAGAGATTTCCTTGTGTCGAGCAACAAACATGCCAGGCACACTAGGCAAGCTCATTCTGAGTCTCTGGTACTGCATTTGTGCTTTCAGAGCACCCGTCACTGCGCAGTATCTTAGAGCTAGAGGGAGCCTCTAGAACGGATGCTTCCATGCTCGTGGATGAGCTAAGGCTCTGGGTTTAATGTGTAATAGCTTTCGTGTTGTTTGACAAGGATGGATGCCCAGGGGAAAATACTTATGGGAGCCCATTTTCATTTCAAAAAATTACGAAGGTAAAAAAAAACAACTTCCCAACATTTAGGGTTTTGATAGGCAATCTTATACTTTTGCTGAGAATTCTGCCAAAGGGAAGGAAAATGCCAGATTCTGATGTCAGGAAATTCGTGGTCACTTTTACTGGTTGGTAATTTTGTTTTCCCTCCAAAGGCTGCTCGAAACTGTTTGGTAGACAGTGATCTCTCTGTGAAAGTATCTGACTTTGGAATGACAAGGTAAGCCAGTTCCAAAGGGGCAACCAATGAAAGTGGTATTTTCATTCCCACCTAAATCCCATCATGAATGGCAGCTTTGTGGGGATATACCCATAGAATGTGCTCTGAACTTAGAAATCTGCATTCCCTCCCCCATACTACCTCTGACTACCTATTGAACAGGTTTCACCACCTTTCCTCATCTATAAGATGAAACTGTACTTCAGAAATTATCCAAAGTCCCTTTTAGTTCTTCCAACACTCTGATGAATATTTTCTAAACTTAAGAATAAATTCCATGAAAGATCCTCAATATTTAAATATAACATGTTACAGCCAGATTATTTGGATACACATACATACATACACATACACACACACACATACACACACACACACACACACACACACACACACACACACACACACACTTTCAATCAAGGCTCCTTTAGCCCTGCCTGTGTTTTTCCTTAATATATGTTCAAATGGGTAGAGCATTAACACTAGGAAAATTTTTGCTGTCATGTTCATTTTCTTTATCACCAATTTGGCATGAAAGTTGACTCTGAGGTTCTATTGATGAATGTTCTATTACCACTTCATGATTTGGAGAAATAATTTTGATTATGATGACAGTTTAAAAGTCTTTCATTTTCTAATTCTGTATCCTCATTATTTGAGCCTCAACGCCAATGTTCATGATTTTACATAGAAAATGAAGACATACTGGCCTTTCCGTTCAACAATCATTTACTGAGTTCCTACTAAACACCTAGGCCTGTGGGATAGGCCCGCCCGCAAAATGACTGTAGTTAGTCTAGACCAGGGGTCAGCAAACTTTTGAGACAGAAGAGCCAATCCTGTCCCTCACAACAATTTAAAAATTATTCAAGAGCCATAAATATATTTTTTACAAATAAGGAAAATTTTAAAATCTTGTAAAATTTTTATAAATGAAACTATGATAGTTTTATTTTCGTTTTCAATTTTACTTCAGAGCCACATGTACGTACCCAAAGCGCCACATGTGGCTCGCGAGCTGCAGTTTGCCAACCCCTGGTCTAGAGGGCAAGTAGATGTCCCTGACATTGAGACAAAATACAGTATAAAGTTCTGCTGACTCAACATAAACTGACATAATTATGAGGAGGAACAATGCAGTTCCAAAGAGATCTGAAGAATTGACCAAGGCCAGCTCTGTATTTAGCAAACGTGGCCCTAAAACCCCATAGGAGGGCTTGTTTTCTAAGTCTTCTCCAAAATTCAATATTCAGAAGTGCTCCTCTTCTGGGACCCCTCAGTATTGGCAATATGTCCCCTTAGCTATGCTATATATGCCATCACTCCAACCACCATAGACTGAGTCTCCTGCATCGACATTCTGTATGTGTCGCTCTCCCGAGCACAAGAGGGACAGGGGCACTGATGCCCACATCGTTCTCTGAGCAGGAATATTGGCTGTTATGACAGTTCTTTGTCTCCTAGGGAAAGGGGGACACAAGGCCTTGCTCTGAATAAGGGATCCTGGAGGCCATGCACCAGGCCCTCTTGGTCATGAAGCTCTATGTCACATCATTCAGATGCCTGTGACACCTTGGTCTTGATGACTTGGAGGAAGGGTTATGCAATGAGCAGAACCCAGTCAGGGGTGCCAGGGTAATTCCTGGGTGTCTTATGGTGTCTACAAAGCTGGAGAGACCTGGGAAGGGAGGTATGCAAAGTGCTGTATATAATCCCATGAAGATGTTATTTACAATTACTATTATTAGTATTTCAAAGAATGATTGCCAAGCCAGCTTTTTCTAATGTTTGAAATTACAGCAAATATCTCTAACACATTTTGGTGTGTAAAGTTTTCCTATAAATTGCATCCAAAATTTCCGTTCCCATAATTTTCATTTTCTTATTTTCCTATTTATAGGACTCATTATTTGTTTTTTGTGAGCAAACATATAGGGTTCCCCTCTATTAATTATATAAATAGTACGTGCTTATTGTAAGAAATACAGCGAAGATGTACAAAGTCAAAAGGAGAATCTCCCCCCACACACACACCCCTTCATCCCATGTTTAGCACTAGGAGTACCTACCTACTGCTAACACATTTGGTAGATGTCCCTTCCACATTTTATTCCTAAGTATACCCAGTCATTAACACAAGTAAGTACATTTACCATTTGTTTTCACAAAAATTGAATCACATTATATATACCTGCTTTTGCACATAACCATATACCCTTGGCATCTTTTTATTTTGGTAAATATAGAGCTATCTCATTTTAATGGCTGCATATTAATCTATTGTATTACTACACCATGTTATATTTAATTGCTTCTCAAAATGTGGACATTAAGATTGCTTCCATTCTTATCATTATTATAAACAAGAGTGTAGTGACTATCCTTGAACATATATTTTTATGGTCTTGATAGCTCCATAGGATATTGTTGTCTATCATTATTTATAATAGCAGATGACCAGGAGCCGTTTACATGGTTAAACAAAGCATGTTAATCCAGGAGAGGGAATTCAGCCATTAAACATGATGCTGAAGAAAATGTAACCCACATAGGGAAAATGTTCTTGATATGCATTAAAGGAAAAATAAAAGCAAACCTCAATATGACAGAAACCCAATTTTGTTCATATTATATATACATAGAAAAAAAGATTGGAAATTATAAGCAAAAATGTATCTTGAATGGTAGAATTACAGGTTATCTTTGGGGTGGGATTCTGAATGATTTTTTTATGGTTTTTGTTTTTTCTATATTTACCAAATAGTTTGCATTCAGATTTTGGTATTTTCAAAGTTAGATATCATTTTTAAAGCTCACAAGTTATAAACAGCCTCCAGCTAAACGTATACATTGAAAGGAAGGACAAGATGCAGAACACAGAGGCATCTGGCTGAGACTGGCTGCCGCTATGTCCTCCATCAGCCTGTACTGCCGAGAGGCAAGGGTGGGCAGCGCAGGTCTTCCCATCTGCACAACCAAGCGGCTGATGGTGTGTGCCAATGTTTCCTCCCACAGGTATGTTCTTGATGACCAGTATGTCAGTTCAGTAGGAACAAAGTTTCCAGTCAAGTGGTCAGCCCCCGAGGTGTTTCACTACTTCAAATACAGCAGCAAGTCAGACGTATGGGCATTCGGTAAGAAAGTGGCCACACAGGCCCCGGCCCCATTTCATAAGCTGCCTTCCACAACAGGAAACCACAAGAGCAGCAACATCCATTTTTAGCAAAAGCCCTGAGCACTTACAAAATTACCTGTATGGCCTGAGACAAGCAAGCGATAGAAGATGATCTTTTCTTGGGTCTGCCGCATATTGTATAATTTCCTGGTATCACACTCTCATAAAAGTTCTTCTACTGCAAATTTCCAACAACGTTTATAAAGGAGTCATTGAGAACTAAAACTGAGTTTGCACGAAGGCCAAAACATTGAAGGGTTTACAATGGAGTCATCGACTTTCAGCATGAAAGCAGCCATGATAACCATTTCCTTCTGAATTGACCAGTTTGGGAGTGGGGGGAGGGGAACGCCTGGTCTAAAAACCAAACGTGACTCAGTGCTCTCTTTGGCCCATACCAGTTTCGACTTGTGTCCTCGTTAAAATTTATCATTTAGATCGGGGGTGAGCAAACCACAGCCCAGAACCCAACCCGGTGCCCTGTTCCTGTAACTGAAATTTAACTGTTCTTGTACTGGTGCGCGGCCATGCCCATTCATTTCTGTTGTCTCTGGCTGGCTTTGTGCAGAGCAGTCACTAGATACTGCATGGCCCCCCAAACCCTAAAATACTTACTGTGTGACCCTTTACAGAAAAATTTTGCTGACCTCTATTTTATTAAAAGATCTATATTAAAATTTAGGAACTATAAAACAGAAATAACTCTTAAATTATGATTTTGTAGATTTTCTGATATTTTTCTATATTGTGAGGAATGTCAGGCCTGTTTACAATCACTGTCAGATGGATCCAGGATAGATGATGCCAATTATTATCACGTTATAGAATATATTAAATTCAGCTGAGACCTATTTCATGCCTGTCTTAGTCCTTAAGCATAAAAATTTGACTTTCCACATGACATCCATTTTTTGCCTAAGAAAAGTAAAATTTAGTCATTGATTTTTCTATATGACATGATTTTTAAAAATAATTATTCCTTTCATTAAAGTGGCATTGTTCATTGTAAAAAAATAATTCAATGTATACAGAAAGAGAAAAAACCACAAAGATAGCATTTTGATAAATACTTGGTGTCATTTTGTGCTGATTAACTTGTCAAAATTAGTTTCGATCTTGTTGTTCCAGCTAATGTCTTATGAAAGACATTTTTAAAAATCAGCATGCTTACTCAATAGTTACACCTTGTTTTTAACCCAAAAAAAATTGCATTACCCAGCTTGATTATTTAAGCACCAGAACTTGCCTCCTGATATTTTCTGGCTGTTTTTAAAAACTAAATCCATTCTTAAATAATTTGTATGCAATAAGGATATTCAAAATGAATGAGGGCGTCTGAAAGCAATTCTCAGAGAAGAGCTACACAGATATTTTAAGCAATAAAAGTATTCTCAAGATAAGTTAGCCTTCCAAAGAGAGAGCTGTGAAGAAAGCAACACACCTTGGGGTGGTTGTTTTAGAATGTTTGGTTTCTCTTTAAAATGCAGCCACAACAACTTGTAATATTACCTTAATGTAAACAATTAACACCAAATCCGTAGCCCTAAATGTCAAAGAAGCTTTGAAGACAGTACTTCAGTTATGGTTCTGGAACACTTTGCTTCCTACTTACGTATTTCTGGTTTTCTGGGCTTTTAAAGCTGGTTGGCTGTTGAAATTCTCTGGCTTGGCCAGTATGATAGCAAAATGGTCACCATTTAGAGAGCAGTTAAAATGCCGCAGTGCTCTTTTAAATGCCCTGAGTGTTTTATCCTATTTATCCCTCATGGCAACTCTATTATGTGCAAATATCTGCATATTATAGACAGGGAACCTGAGAAAAGTAAGAAGCTTGCCTAGTCTGTAAGTGGCAGAACTGAGCCTCAAAGGCTGCATCTGACTGACCCCAAATATGGTCACAACTTGGTTTCTTAACCTGGAGTCTATGATGCCCTGCATGGGGGACTGTGGATATCCAGAAATCAAACACGAAAATCCTGTGCATTTATTTCCCCAAGGGAGAGCCAATGGCTTTGGTCAGATTCTTGAAAGGATACTTGACCCACCAAATATTATGAAACACTGTGGCCATTAGAAAAGGAGCAATGCTATCAATGATTTTATCTATACATTTCCACTGAACGGTAATTTGATTATGCAATGAAATTGTTGCACACGCGGCCAAGGCAGAGAGAAAGGAAGGGTGGGGACTTCAATCCATCACTCCTAAGGGCTGGAGCCGGGTAGTTTTGGGGTGGCCGGAGGCCGCAGCTGCTTTTCTGAAGCAGCCAAGACTCTTGGCCCCAGGTAGCTCCCTCTGCAGCTGCCCTAGCCATTTACTCGTTTCCCAGTGAGAATGGGCATCTGGGTCTCCGGAAACATGGAGGAAAGACCCTCGGCTCCAGGAGTGATGGTACAGACCCACCCTCCATACTCTGTCCCTTCTGCTAGGACTCCTTTCCAGGGCTCCCCAGCTCTGACCCGTAGCCTTCCTGACCTGGCATGTGAAGCTCATTCCACAAACGCGGTACCTTCTGACATCCGCTCTCTCTCCTGTCCCCCGGCCCCCTCGGCATCGTGCAGGGATCCTGATGTGGGAAGTGTTCAGCCTGGGGAAGCAGCCCTACGACCTGTACGACAATTCCCAGGTGGTGGTGAAGGTCTCCCAGGGCCACAGGCTCTACCGGCCCAAACTGGCCTCGGACACCATCTACCAGATCATGTACAGCTGCTGGCACGAGGCAAGTACACCACTTGGCAGAGCTTTGGCTGCATCCCCATGGGCAAAGCATTTCTGAGGGGAGGCACCTGCTACAGATCAGGTGGAAATGGCCCTGGGCCTCTACCCTCAAGTGTTTGTAATCTGAAACAAGCAATGAAGGTGCCAACAATTTAACAAAAACTTATGTTCAGCACTGTTCTAAGAACTTCATCAATATTAACTCATTTAGTCATTGGGAAACATGTATGAGGTAGGTACTATTAGCATGGCTAAAACTAACAAAAGAGGAAACAGACCCAGGGAGGTTAAGTGACTTGCCCTAGGTCACACAGCTATTAAGAGGCAGGCTGGCTAGTGTTGGGGTCCCTGTTCTGAACCACACCCACGATAGTCTCTCCTCGAGTAGCAAATGTGTGATAGAGTACATATAACCACATGTACACAACACACGATGGACATGATGCCGTCCTTTCTTCCCATACCTCCCAAGTGCTGAATAAAAGCATCCCCTGCCTCCCAACACACACACACCGTGGAACTGCAAACACCAAGCTGTTTATAATTATACATGCACAATAGAAACATAGCCAAGTACAGGACTTACTGCCGTCCCCTGGCAGATGGGGAAGAGCAGACAAGGGGTTTTGAGTTGAAGCCGGGGCCTCCCCCGTCCCTGCTCTAGCTCCTGGGACTAGGGCTGCACCATTGGATGGTCAGGGGACCCTGAACAGGGAGGAACTGCCTTCTTCCCACAGATGGTCCATGAAAGTGTGTGGATTGTGGCAGACTCCAGCGAGAGGGGTTTGCACAAAGACAATCCCCAGTTGAAGGTTCTGCAAATAGTGAGCATTTTGTACATTGTAGTCTCCCCTCTTTTTTATATTTTATTTTACAACTTTTGGGAAAACATTCACAATTTTCACTACATTCTAATTTATCTTTCCTGTAATTCTTTGCACAAAAATAAGCATGTAAGTATGTATGTGTGTGTGTGGTTCCGCTTTTTTCTTACCTAAAAAGTAGCATGCAGATTTCTCTCTCCAGGAGTTGCCCCTCTAGCAATGTGCCTGTTTCCCCCCAATCTCACCACACAGACCATTGTCAAGCTTCTGAATTTCTGCCAATCCGATAGATGAAAAATGGTATTTAGTGCAGCTCTCATGTCCCTCTTTCTTTATGAGGGAGATATATTTTTAAGGGCATTTGTATATCTTTCTGAGAATTATATGTCTTGCCTTTTCCCTTTTTTCTATCAGGTTTTTGTTTTCCCCACCTTGATTTTTAAAATCCCTTTATAAAGTGATTGTATTTAGTTTACATTTTAACCTGGAAAATTTGACATCTTTATGATACTGATTTGTCCTATTCAAGAACAAGAAATGTTTTTCTATGTGTTCAAGTCTAAATTTGTATTTTCCAGCAGTGTTTTATTAAAGTTTTCTTCATTCAGGAGGTACATTTTTGCTCCTATTTTATTTTGGTGTTGTTGCTACTGTAAATGGGATTTTTCTTTTCCATTATATCTTCTAATTGGTTATTGTACACATATATGAAGTCTACTGATTTTGTATGTTAATTTTATTACAACTCTCCTGGTGAATTCCTTTATTATTTAGGTTGATTCTATCATGGATTCATTTAGCTTTTCCAGGTATACAATCATATCTTATGCAAATAAAGATACTTTTTCTTTTCAATTCTTAGGGCTGTAATTGTTTTCTCTTTAGTGGAAATGTTTGTAGTGTTTTAAAAGTTGCTAGCTTTAGGATTGAGGTATAAATATTTTATATATTTTATTTTTAACCTCAATGTTCATAAACTAAACCATTGGGTTTTTCCTTTGTTTAGCTTCCAGAAAAGCGTCCCACATTTCAGCAACTCTTATCTTCCATGGAACCACTTCAGGAAAAGGACAAGCCTTGAAGAAGAACTGAGGAGATCGGATGAGAATGAATATAAATGGCCAACATCTTCATTCTTTCTAAGGAAAGTAACAAGGCACAGACAGTGCAATCTAGCTAGTTCTTCTTAATGGTATTCTGTGTGCTGTGTATCTGTTATATTATCTAGAAATGAACAAGGTAGCAAACAAAAGATTTCCTTGGAATGCAGGTCAAATTAGTGATTTAGTTTATGCTGTTCTTAATATTACACTTCCCAGCCTATAGCAGAAGCACATTTTCTGATTGCAGTAGAGAGAGTGTATGTACCATGTGTAAAGATTGAACAGAATTGAAAAATTACTTGTTGGATATTTGTTCTTTTCTTTATATTGTCACTCTCATGATAATTAAAAATGCTATTAACAAGTACAGAAATGTGGACATTTGCCTTCATGTTTCAATGTCCTCAATCTTTAGCATGCGCGCATGAAACTCAAATGGAGGGTTATTAAAACAAATCCTTAGGAACTACCCCAGAGACTCTGGTAGAGCAGGTCTGAGTGCAGCCTGAGAATGTGTATTTTTAACAGGCACCCCGATGTTCCAGTGCAGTCAGTCTGAACTGCCCTAGGGGACCTCCTTATGCAGTGGGCGACGTTAGGTGATCCATAATCAATCTAAATGACACAATTCTCACCTGATATCCAGATTAGAAGAGTGACTCTTTATGTCATCATATACATCAATAAAAAACTAAAGATAAATGTTATTCCATAATGTATTAACTATGTTTCACATAGAGCACATTTTAAATGATGCTAAGGTATAACTTGGTGCCTTTTTTCTCACCCTTAACCATCATCAATCTCGACTCAAGTGTGACCATGACTTTATATCTGGAATTGACTAAATTGTTGCTTTCTAGTCATTTTAAAATCCGAGTTTGGGACTCGGGCTTCTGGCCAGTTTGATAACTGACGTTTCTTTTTCAGGCTTCTATCCTGACACAAAGGTAGGGAAGTAGGTGTTTAGCTACTCGTGGCTGTTATTAGAAGGCACTTTCACTTTACAAATCTTCCTGGGAATGCCCTCCTTGGTGGCCTGCTGCCGAACCCATAGGCTTTCATCTCTTTTGGAGTCCTTCACTGTCATTTCCATAATGTCAAGAAGGGAAAGAGCGGGGTTATGTGGAGGGCACTACTGCAATGAAAGCAAGGCACCCTAATTAAGCCCTGCTCCTACTTTACCGCTGGAAGTTAACAATCTCCCTTAAGAGACATTCATACTCTTTCTCACCCCACTCACCCCCTCACCCCCCAGCTATTTCAAATGAGCCCTCTTAGTTATTTGTTTCTTGACATTTAAATAATGATTCCTTTCTTTTCAACAGAATTGACTTATGGTAATAGCCTTCTATTTTTTACAGAGGCACACACATCTCAATGCATAATAAATGGAACTTTAGAAATAACCACTAGGGCATTTATACATTCAGTGAGCATTCATTTAGCATGTACTGTGTGCCAGGTTCTTTCCTGGGGGGAGGGGGAGGAGCAATTAACACAGCCCCGCCTCCTCAGTTGGCCACGGTCATGTGGGGGTGGCAGCCTTTGCTGCGCTCCCCAATCCTGTCCACCAGGAACTAGAGCACAGGCTGTGAGCCCCCCAGGGAAAGGTTTCCCAAGCCCAAGCTAGGTCTTGTTGGTCCCACCCCCCACCGAAGGTCGATTTCCTTTCTTCTTAATTTTATGTATTTGATCTTCTAACAATCCTCTTTATAACTAAAGGAATACAGGCTCATGGGAAAAATTCGAACACTACAGAATTGTCTATTATAAAGAGACCAAAGCTTGGCTTAGAAACCTGGCCCCAAAAATCAAGTCAAGCAAGATTTTAAGATACTAGTAGACGTTTATCAGAAAATAAGTCCAGTGATGCTGGGGCTGGGCAGGTAAAGGAACAATAGTCACACTATTTAAAACATGCATGATAAGTTTTAAAATGCTGTTTTACTGTGTTTAGTGGTGGCATCTGGCATTTCTTGTTGTTTTAAACCAGGGGCCTGCCTACACTCTCTTGGAAGCGATGAAAACGTTCATCGTCCCCTGACTGGGCTAACTGATCCACCATCACCATTATCTCTATAGAATGTATTCAGAACAAAGTTATCTAACATGATGCCGGTCACCACATAGAGTGAGTTATAGGTAGAGTTTGGGTATTTTGATCTATTTAACCTATTTCAAGTGAGTCTTCAGGTATGTCGTGGATGCTGTGCTAGAATGGGTCTGGGGGCTCCGAAATATGTCAAAGCAGTGTCAGATTTGGTTCCTTACCTGAGGGTGGATATCGTCTTAACACAACTGTTTTCAGGCTCATTTTACAATTGCTTTGTCCAAAAAAAGCAATTTAAGAGATTGGCATACATTCTAAGACACCGGGTGGTCAAGGGTCCCAGGCAGTCAGAGGACAACTTAGCCCCTAGAAGTGAAAAGCAGACAATCTACAGAAGCCCCAGCACATAAGTAGCCATGACACCACCAGAGTGTGCAAATCTAGTGTTTATTGAGTGTCTGCTTTGTGCTCAGCACAACTCAGACATCGTGGGTGAATTCAAAAGATTTAAGAGACTGGGTGCCCACTTCAAAGGGTGATATTCAGTTGGGATTTTCATTCGCTCCACAGTTAGAGAACAAGGGAAGCAAATTTCTACCAGGTGTGCTGGGTCGGAGGGTCATGAAGGCCCTGGGGGCTACTTGAATCTCCTCAGGGAGATGATGATCAAGTAGCTTGGAAGTGAGAGGGCAACATCTTCAGACACTCTCCTGGCTCTTCTCTCTTGAGACTTGTCACCCTGAGGAAGGCATGGTGTAGTCCAATCACCACTGAGCAAATCAGTATAGTACTTAGATTACGTTAATGTGAAGAAAGCGTGTCATCCTTTACACTGGAATTAAAATAAAGTGAACAGTGTGCATCATTCCCAACCCCTGTAGTGCCATCAGTTCATGTGCACTGTCCTTACAAGCCATCCAACCAGATTCCACAGAAGACTCCTACACTTACTCCGGCAAGTGCTTCTTTTTTTTCAGCTCCAGCAACACAACAGACCTTTCCACTCCCATTACCCATGAACAGCCCCGGGAGGCTAAAGACACACTTTCTCTATTATTCTCAAAGATAAACATCGCTTTTAGGAAACAGAAGAGAAATCAAATGTTGAGGCAGAAATAAATACTAAAAGCAACGCCATAAAGAGGCCCTGTCCTCAGACACGTCTCCTCGGGGTCGCTTTGCTGAGCAGAGCCATGGTTCTGATATTGAATAACATCTTTATAATCTCATATTTTCTGGACTATGAAATTAACATTTACATACAATGAAATCACCTCAAGAGGAAATAAAATAGCTTTTTCTAAAACGAAGTCTGAACATCGTCACCATTTTGGAATCCTGGATTGTTTTCTCCTTTACTCAAATCCACAGAAGGATAAGGATTTTCTTCATTTCTTTCTTGATCTTTCCTGTTAAATAAAGTGAAGTCACCTTAATATAGTGATGTTAGCATGACGAGGCCTCCCTGGGACTCCACTGGGCCTCTTTTACATCTCAGCATAATCACCGGTGTATTCATTTGCCTATCAGTCCCCTCGTCATGGACTATAAACACCTGCAGTGCATTGGGTTCGCTTCTTTAGCCCTGTGATTGTGGAGATGGCTGGCAGAGCAGTCAGAGACTGGTTAGGGTATGAGCTCTGGAGTAAGAGAGAGGGGGCTTCTGGGCCTCAATTTGCCTATTCAGAAAATGATGGCCGTTATGTGGAATCAATGAAATAATGCTGGCAGAGCACTCACAGTACCTGGCATATAATCCTCGGTAAGTAGGAACCATTATTATTATCTTTAAGAACTCAGTCATCATTTAGCCAATCGCCTCATTTGGAAGAGCTCCCCTGCTAAACTAGCAACCTCCGAAGTATAAAGATCAGGGTAGGACAAGTAGTACAACAAGCCGCTTTGGAATCTGGGCGTATATCCCAATGTTACGCATTAGCTGTGTAAACGTGAGAAAGTTACTTGGCCTCCCTGAATCTCAGTTTTACATATATATGAAGATAATTACAGGTTTACATCATAGGTTTGCTGAGAACATTAACGTATGAAAATATTGAGCAGGGTAGCTGGATCTATTTTTCTGTGTACCTTCTGTTAACATAGTGTGTGGCATGATGGCGATATCCCCAAATAATTTCATGAACTAACTTTGGAATAGTATCTCATGTGCAAATTTTTAGTATGTATTGTAGAAGAGTGCTTCTCATACTGTTATGTGCATATGAAACACCTAGGGTGGGGGGCTTACTGAAATTAAGGTTCTGATTCAACAGGTCTCCCCGAAACTGATAACTTTGGTGGGATTTGGGAAGGGAAGTTGGAAGCAAAGAATGACAGGGAGACTCTATGTATCCTTTTGTGTTTTTAAATTTTTAACCAAATGCATGTATTCTATTCAATGCCTAATTTTAAAAATGAAGCTACTTTGGGGAACTAAAAATCTCTATAGTGAAGAAAATTGAGCAAAATAAACTAGTACATGTAAAAACTCCACCAAGAACATGTTTAAACAACCTGAAGTGTGTGCATAAAGTTTTCTTCAGTGCTATAACACATTATCAACCTCAATTACATAAGCCCAACGAAAGTAAATGATTTCTCAAGATCAGGAAAAAAATATCTAGTGGCAGAGCAAGATTATAAACCAGGCCTCTACTGATTTAAATCCTGAGTGAACTTGGATCTTCAACTCAAGAACAAATTAGAGGGTGGCTGACCCATGAACTAAGAGGATGATAGGGAGCCTGGGGTACCCAAGAAGGAATGAAGGTGATTAAAGAGTAGTGGTCTGAAGCAAATCTCAGAGCTCACTCTTCAATGATTTTACAGTTCAAACACATCACCAACCCAGTCTCTAGGTTCATGCCTAGAGCTGGGAGGACGCATCAGTAAAAATAACCCTCTGAGCCTGCCCACTGCCGAGTCTGCAGTGCCTCTTGGCAGTAGGGCAATGATGCTGTGGCCAGGGTGGAGTTTTCCAGGGCGGGCATGCCGGCAAACCCAGGTTGGACACCTATTGTGTGGGAGGGCTAGAAGGGGAAGTGCTGAGGAAATCTGGTCATTGTTCTGTACAACCTGCCACTCACTGCAAACTTCCCCGTTAGTTTTCCCTAAACCTTTCTGTTTTAGGAGAGCTAAGTCTAGGAAAGATCACTTACTTCCTTCGGTCTCTGATCCCGGTGAAGATGAGCAGGCCAATAGCAACCACTACCACTCCCATCACAACCCCGAAAACAATCAGCCATATGGTGACGGGTGGCTGGTAAGGGGGTCCCAGTGTCGGCTGAATACCCAGAAACTCCAAGC